TAACATATTCTGGAAAATGAAGCACTGTCCGGGCATTACATCGCCGGAGTCGTATTGCTGTACTGAAGCATGTAGCTGAGCAAGATTGAATCGAGTCCGGGGGCAAAGTGAAGTTCGTAATAGGGTAGTTCTTACTGACTATATCTTATCCCCAAGCCCTTGTCACACATTCAGGACCAACTAAGGTTGCCTGAAGTTCAGGAACATTCAGACTATATTTTGTTTTACGCCTACTTTTCTACACGAATAGAATCGAATTTAAGTAAAGCAACGCTCCAATCTTTACTCCAAAACTCCATGAGCAAACCTCCTGCCCACTCTCGAATGCTTTTGAAACATTCGGCTGGCCCAGTTTAACAGTAGCAGAACTGGTCGACTACAAACCGACCTTGCTCCTAACCACTGGTTTCGGAGGGGTGTGTGGGGCGTTTGACTGATATTTTGTCGGCCATATTTGACTATGTGAGACAGGGGCTTCAGCTAAAGTTTCTTTTGAAGTTTGGAAGTAATGCTACGTAGTATGTTTTTACTAGCCGGTGAACACAAGCTCTTCGTCCGGCGCTCAGGGAGCGGCCCACCCCTAGAAAGCCGGCGTAAGGCAAGGTTCAGTCAGGCTATGTTTTTACGTGTACAATAAAAAACACAGAAAAGAAAGGTCCCGTTCCACTCTATGCAGAGCACAGGGGTGGTGCCCATCTCCATTTTCGTAGCCCTTGGGCGACACACATTTGTGCAAGGCACTACAGCAGGGGTAGCTGGTAGTGCTGTGTGTTTGACCTTCCCACACTCTTTCTTATATGTGCTGAGTGCTAAGCAGAGAAAGAAAACACAGATCGAAGACAAATACAGGAGTTACTAGAATCCACCTACCAGTGTGCAGAACTGACTGACGGGGAATCCACACGTGCTGTTGGCCGGGTCCACTCTAGGCACCGTCAACTTCGCCATGTCAATCACATTGGGTTGGCACGGTCGGTACTCCACCAGCCCCGTATTCACATCGATGGACTCACATGCCTGCGTGTTGTCTGTGCTGGGCACGGGTTGTGTGATAAGGACGCACGATGCTTGAGACGAGGCTAAGAGCAGCACTAACGCGTAGCCGACCCAGGAGGCTCGGAGTGAGGCTATGAAAGTTCCAAAGCCCATGGTGCCGTCACATATTACTTGTAGATAGCCTCAAAATTGACGTCAAGCAGTCAGGACTAACGCCGTCTCTGAAAAATATAGACAAGAAAAAAAATCGTATTCATCAACAATTTGAATGGTGTTTACATGTATGTCACACTCTGGTAGTATCTGCGAGAATACTGGCAAAGAGGAGGGGTCTATTGCTATCTATAGTCTAACATTTTCAACATTTCAAAATGTCAAACATTCCATCACATTACTGCAAGCTACCGTTTAAATAGTCTGTAATTGTCATAAAACCTAGATATTTTATTGTTGTACCTGCATATGATACTGAACATGGATCGCAGACTGTACCAGCAGAGACTGTGATCACGGTATCTCTACCGGCAGAATCTACCAGATAGTCTCATACTGACATATATGTATACACGGCTAAACTTGTTTGCAGGAAGAGTAGTATGGATATGGATGACCCCTCCATTTAATAAAAAAAAATCATGTTGTGACAAATTGCCTTTTCACGAATGATGTATGCAACATGGCCGTTTGTGAAGCACTTACAGACTATAACAGAACATCGGGATTTTGCGGATGCTCGTTAGGAATGGAAACATTTGATAAATATCCGCATTGAGAGTACCTTTGTCGACGGAATTGATGATTCAGTTGATGAAGAGGCGTAAATCAACCAATTGGGAACAGTAGGTATACGTCATTCAGGCACATACGGCAGTTGAAAAACTAAGTTGGTACGACAGAGACACCTTTTTTTATAGAATCCAGAAGGAGGCACGAAATAAAAATATTAAAGGCCATACGATAGTTGACCCTTAGGATTAAGGATTCACCAAACGTTGCAAAAGAAACACTCTACTTGGCTTTGATGGGCGTCCATCAGCGTGGCATCTTTGCCAGTTTCCCCAGTGTTCAAATACAAACAGATTGCCCTAGCGCAAAACCTAAACATCTCTCAAAGTGGTTGTGTTTCTAAGGATAATCCTACCAACCACTGTTGCTGTTGTAGAAGGCTCATGGTGCAATAGCCGATGGCTATATTGTGGTGCACCCAACGATTGCCTAGTTTGTTTTCTAAACTTAAGTATCCCCAGTTAAGATCATGCTTCCAGATTAACAAGATGAAACAATCCTTTGTAGGCAAACTAAAGCTTGGTAGATGCCACGGCGTCTCAATGATTTGCACAGTGGCATACCAGGTCAAGGTCTGCAGTTGGCGTTCATATAGTCTTGATTCTCATGCTTGCATGGATCATTGAGCTACTCGAATGCTAATCAATGTGACATTTTGCAATGGCAAAATGCCGCAACAAGACATGTGGGGCCAACTGGCGATTTCACGTGGCAGCTGCTTAAAACCGAAATAAGCTCATTGCGTACCCAAGGCACAGGCCATAAATTACATCCCATGTTTTTAACAAAACCCTTTTTAGCACAGCAAATTACTACTGTTTATTCTTACTCTAACACATTCGCATACATGGTGACAGGCACTCCAACCCTGTTCTACCACTTGCTACATAATGTTATCCAACACAACTGGGTGTCTGCTACAGCACCAGTTACTACGGTGACCGCGTTGGTTCAGGTCATTGACCCTATGTGTTTGGAGAAAAAGAATTTCTTGCTTATTTTTCATATGTCCATGAGTGAGTATATACAAATACTATATAACACTGTGGGACTCTACTATCAGCCTGTAAGCCGAGATACCACAATTTACAGAAACGTCCTGCATTTGGTTTATCAAGTAACTTTTCACCTAGTTAAAAGCACAGCCAACAAGGCAAAAACTTTGCCCATGAAAATTTCCTGGTTTGCCAAATCGAATGCAGGACTGAAGTCAAAAAGGACCGCGCCTACCAGATGGACGTGTCTATTTCCTCTAACAATTCATCCGGCATCTCTACCAGTGAGAACGACGGTGCTTTTACAATGTTGGCAGTCCAACAACCTGGAGTTATATAGAGACCTTGGCTTGTCTCTAACAAAACCTGCCATGTCGATGATCACACTTCTAAAGCAAGCAGAAGTTGCCACCTCGTCCACTCCTATTGTATCTGCTTGTCTGTCCATTGGTCCAACGATTAGGATTAAGTAGTGATACTTTACCACCGAGGCCTGTCAACGCCAATGGCAAACATGGCACCTCGAAAGCTGAGTAACGGTACTGTTGAAAAAGGCTATCTTTCGTTGGTGGCACCTGGCGAAGATAAGAGAACTAAAAGCACGCCATATCGAAGACGGCCTACAGCTCCGGCAATCATTTGATGGCGGGCAATGCATTTGTCAGCAAGGGTTACCTATCGGAGAGACAGCCAGTGTTTTGTTGAAGGACAACACAAAGCGTTATCTCTAATGCTGTATCTACTGATTCGTGTTTTAGGTGGGAAATTTGCTCAGTGCTAATGGATCCACAAAGTTAGAAGCTGTCAACCATGATCACCGCCATGTCTGATGGAAACGCAATACTACTTCCTTGTTAAGTGTTGTCAATTAACTAGTATAGTACAGAATACATATCTATACCATGTCGTTGATCTATTGTTTGAAGCATCATCAACCAAAGCAACATCACTGTGCATGACAACTGCGATTGTGGATCCCAGGTAAAATCCAAAATGTACTGACAAATGCAGTTTCGTAGCATGGCAGTCGAGTGTTTTGTATTCTTTTTTCAATCATTACATTGTAATATTGGTTTACAAATTACATTACGAAACGAAGAAGCGTCCTCCGTACATTCCCTATGCGTCTTTATTAGGCTGCCTTTGAACTTGACTAACAAAGAGTAGCCCCATTAGTTTTATAGCATATCAAACAGAATTACCTTCAGCGTGACTGGGGCAGTTATCTATTTCGGGAGGGTACTCGTGACCAATTTTAACGTCATTCATCATTATAATAAGTCTCCTTATGTACCCTTAAGCGTATCACAATATGCAAAATTTACGATGACCAAGCTAAACGAATGCAATTTTGTCTTTTGAAAGTTATGGCTTGCAACCTTTACGAGGTTACAAAGCCTTTGCGCACTGAAGAGTGCTTGATATCTTTTGCAATTACACAAAGCTCGTTTTCAGGAACATGAACTCTTTCACTATTTTTCACCCAAATTACATAAGAGGAGCGTTCGCTTTTACTTCGTCAAATCCCTCTCAAGGTCTGCAACACAAAGAAAGGGACGATGGGCGCCCATTATACGAGCTCCGAGATTGCCATCAGTATTTGTCTAAATGTAAACTTTGAACCCGGTACCCCTGAGGCAACTTTATCCCCGGGTTTGTCATAAGTATCATCTCTGGTGAGGAGCAACTACCTTAAACGTACCTAGAATGCTTATTTAAAAAAAATCTTCCAAGGATTTTGCTTTTTTCATAGGAAACTGTGGTTTATGGATTCTTTAATTTGATGAGTAAGCTACGACTATTAAGGCAAGACATATTTGCAATCCTAAGGCGTTCTTTAACACACCTATGCAAAAAGTAACTATTCATAATAATTTAGATCCAACTACATGTGATGGTAGAAGGGTCATAAAACTATAACAGTGTTAAAATCGGAAACAGTTTTCTTTCACACAACCAATTTTATCTCAACTATTGGTACTGACGTTTCGGTGTCTATCAGACACCTTCCTCAGAGCTTCTGTATGCTATACTTTACAAATGATAAAACTATTTTCGGAAGTTCTAAATCATTTAAGCTTCCTGCTAGCCGATTGTGCTATATGGTTGCGGTTGATGTTAGATCTACAATACTATGTGACTTGGCGTTGGTGAACAATCCAGGCATCTTCACACAGAATACACGACCTTGGGCGAAATGCGAAGCTACTTCCTACTTATTAGCATTCAAACCTGCACTGATGACACGGCAAGGTCAGCTGCTAAAAGAGTGATCAAGTGGAATCGAACATAACGGCCTCATCCTTGCAAATGGCTGACGTAAAAGGATAGCTTACCTCTTCAGACAAGCAAGATGCCAGGCTATCTGTCTTAGCTACAATGTCACCTCTAATAGCCTGTCCGGCTGCGCTCCGGCAGATAGGCCTACACCTTGCTCTCACATATCATTAAAAGGCATTGCCTGAAAGACACAAATTCCCGGACTATCTAAACTTACACTTCGCCCTTCGCATTCTGTCCAAAATGGATTTCTGTGACGTCACTGCTCAGCTGAAGATTGAAGATAAGAAGAAATACGCCTCCATTCACGGCAACATGCTAATGGCGATACGATATACATCTCTTACCGGGATCAACAAAATACGGGATATCGACACTATGAGCAGCTTCCAAGGTTATCTCAAGTGTTTGTCTTTTTTGCGGAAGTTTCTTGCAATTACGTCAACACCATTGTGTAGTTAGTGAGCGTTGGTTATAGAAGGGACTTATAGAGGAATATACGGAATTAAGTAGCTCGGTATGAAAAATAGAATACCTACGGACGAATTATCTACTTCCAAGCCACCCAAAACAATATTTCCGTCTCGAAAGGAAAAAGAAAGCAGGCCATTTTACTCTACAAGGGCAAGGCTTACATCAATATCAAAATCACAATGCACATATTGTAACTTTATTTGTGGTCACAGACGAAAAAATAAATTGTAGGGGTTGTTATGAACACTCTGATATGGTAACGACGTGTCCTTGTTTGACCTTTTCCTCGGTTAGTTTTAAGCAGCCCAGTAATGATAACACGTTCTAATCAGTCTAAGTGTGAGCCCAAGTCATTAGCCCTGAGTGGTCTTACGGAGGTGTCTACAGCTGCCTTCATTTTCTTCGCATCTCGTTGGTCTTTTTCAAAGATGACCAGCTGAGTCAAATTGCCTGTCTTCGTTATTTCTCGCGATTGTGCCCCCCTGGTAATGACAGAGGCCATTTTCAAAGTTAAGTCCGACCATTACCAGAGTAAAGACTTCGGCGTTTCTGAATACTAGGGCCATTTAAGTTACAGAATAGCAGTCGTTACATAAATGGAAAAACAACCGGATACTATGCTTCGTGCGTCTGCAATATTTGC